GGGATGGGAGGTTTTGCTTTCAGTCTGAACTTGGGTGTTAGGGAATTTTGTGATTCCACATGAATATTTTTAATGCCCTGTTCTTCAATTCTTTATTTCTCCACAGGGAAAAGGCTGAAATCAAGGGCCCAACATGGGCTGAGTATAAAACAAAAGTTTATTTAGAGTGTATAATGCTTTATACAAATTTTGGGCTTTAGTTCTTTTAAATCAGCTGGTTACCTTAAATTTATAACACTCTAATACCTTAGTAAACTTTTATCCATTGTGGTATCAATCAGATCCCACCTGATAATAAATATGTCTGAAGTATGAGAGACGAAGTATGGCCATCCTGGCTTCCACCAAGCATTCTGGTTGTACTTCTTCCCACACAGATTGGTTTGTTCTTTTGGCAGTCCATGATCCTTTCAATATTCTCTTCCAATACCACAACTCAAATGCATCAATTATTCTACAGTGCTCTTTATTCACTGTCCAACTTTCATATGCATATAAGGTTATGAAAAATACCATGGCTTGGATCAGGTTCTCCTTAGAGGTCTTGGGCAGTAGATTTGCCTACTGCAATACACCATTTAATTTCTTAACTGCTGCTTCCATGAGTGTTGATGGTTGATCTGAGCAAAGTGAAGTCTTTGACAATTTCAATCTTTTCTCCATTGATATGTATGTTGTTTATTGGTCCAGTGATGAGGATTTTTGTTTTCTTTATATTGAGATGCAACCAATGCTGAAGACTGTTTTTTTTTTTTTATCTTCTTCAGTAAGTATTTTAAGTTCTCTTTGCTTTCAGCAAGCAAGATTGTATCATATGCATATCACAGGTTGTTAATGTTTATTTTTCTTCATATAATTCAGCTTCTTGCATTGTGTGCTCAGCATACAGATTGAATAAGTATAGTGAAAGAATATATCCCTGGCACACACCTTTCCTAATTTTAAACCATTCAGTGTTCCCTTGTTCTGTTCAAACTACTGCCATCTGATCTATGTACAGGTTTCTCATGAGCACAATTAAGTGTTCTGGAATACTCATTTTCCACAGTATTATCATGATCCACATAGTTGAAAACCTTATCAATAAAACACAGGCAAATATCTTTTAGTATTCTCTGCTTTCAGCCAAGTTCCATCTTATGTCAGCAATGATGTCCCTCAGTCCACATCCTCTTCTGAATCTGGCTTGAATCTCTGGCAGTTCTCTGTCAATGTATGGTTGCAGTCATATCTAATGCTACTATAACAAAAATACCACAAGTGAATGGGTTAAATAAACAGAAATTTAATCTTTCACATTTTTGGAGGCAAGAAGTCCAAATCCAGGGGCCTAACTCTCAGGGAAGGTTTTTGCTTTCTGTTGGCTCACAGTTTAGGAGGATGTTCCTTGTCTCTTTTTAGCATCTGTGAGCCTGGTGTTCCTTGGATATCTCCATGTATCTTCCCTTGGGTCAAGGAGTTTCCTAGAGCAGGAACCCTAGGTTCAAAGGAAATGCTCCACTTCTGACTCTTCTTTCTTGGTGATAGTAGGTTCACTTGTTTAATTCCTTTTATATTTCAAAAGAGATTGGTTCAAAATACAATCTAATCCTATATAGATTACATCTTGCCTCATTAATATAATTTCCTCTAATCCTGCCTCATTTGCTGGAGAAGGATATCATGTTTGGTAAGGTGGAGGGTCACAGAAAAAGAGGAAGACTCCCATGAGATGGATTGTCCAACTGGCAGCATTGATGGACTCAAGTGTGGCAACAGTAGTGAGGTTGGACCAGGATTGGGCAGTGTTTCGTTCTGCTGTGCATAAGGTCACTCTGAGTCAGTACCAACTCAATAGCACCTAACAACAACAACAACAATCCTGCCTCATTATTATCATTTTTGTTGTTGCTGTTGTTGTTAAGTGCCATTGAGTAGGTTCTAATTCAGAGCAACTCTGCATATGGTTTCTGAGGAGAGAGTGATGATTTTGAATCACAGACCTTGTGGTTTCAAATCAACCTAGTGGAATATTGATTATCCTACTGCACCACACCAGGACCTCTACTGGCGGTGGTGGTCATTGTGTGCCATGGAGTTGGTTCTGACCTATAGTGACCCTGTGTAGGGTTTCCAAGGCTGTAAATCATCTTTCTCCCATGGAACGGCTGTTAGTTTCACACTGCTAACCTTGAGGTCTGCAGCGCAACTCGTAACCACTATGCTACCAGTGGACCTCTATTAATATTAATATCCCATTAATCCTGGTGTGACACTGTGGGATAAAGCACTGGACCATAAGGTCAGTTTCAACCATTAAGTCAGCAGTTCAAACTCACTAGCAGCATCACAAAAACTTTATACAGGGTCTTTTTGAGTTGGAACTCACTTGAAGACACTTAAAACAATAATACCATAGAGGGGAGGATTTACAACACAGGATAACTACATCAGATCACAAAATTGAGGATAATTACATAATACTAAGCATCATGGTCATGGTCCAGCTAAGTTGACACATATTTTGGGGGAACACAATTGAATTCTTAATCAATCTATACTGTTGCTGCCCATGAATCACCTGACCCTGAAAGCAGTAGTATCCAAGGACATTTACAAATAACAAATTCTCTTGTTGGAAAATTATCTTCTTAATTTTTAGGATGACTGAAGTTAATCATAAGGCAGAAAATTTTGAGCAATCATTTAATTGACTGAGCACACCTTCAGGGTGCATTGTGTTTACATCCAAAAATAATTTGGTGATGTCTCTGTGCCATAGAAACCCCAGAGTTATTGAGCTCTGTCCTGCATTGTTTGTTTCAACTCCATGGATTCTCAGCTCTTTTAATTATTTCTTTTTAAAGCAGCTTTGAAAGATTTCTGTGAAGTTGAAGGCCAAAGGTTACTTCCACTGTGCAGAGCTGTATTCAATTCAATTCCCTTTTTTTTAAAAAAAAAAAAACCCTCAAGCTTGGTTGGTAATTGAAGATATATCTTAGCAGCTGAGAGCTGCAGTCTGCAGTATCTGACAGCCCAGATAGGTTGGCTTTCACCTGCTACCTCTGAGCCTGTTCTTTTCCCCCTCCCTGAATTTGTAACTCAAAACAGCAGGCACTGAATTAACTTGCTGGTGGATTTTCAAACAGAGAGAATCTTTTCCTTTTTATTAATTCCTGCCAACAGCTCACTCTTTTGCTTCATTTAATTGAGAGAAGTTAAGTTGAACTTGATCTGACAATCAAAGACTTGAGAAATTGCTGTTTATCACACAGAAGATAACCTTTCTTTTCTCAGGAACTCTTTCTGTATGTACAATTGGAGTGGTGGAGAGGAACTGAAGTAGTTGTGTTGGATGTTTAAGAATCTAATCTAGAAGGAGAGTAGTTCTTATCAGAAGGCTTTTGAAAAATACTTGCTCTCTATCTCACAGAGTAAACTTAAAGAAAATTAAGGGCAGCGAACCACAGACATCTATTTTCTTCATGATTTGAGGTGATGGATTTTTCAGTGTTTTCTGTTCCCTGCACCATGCTCCATTCCTTTATGATGAGTTACTTGACAGAGATTAGGTGTTATTAATGATCTAGGGAAGGAAATTGTACCTTCATCTCTGCAGAGCAATGATGTCCTCTATTCGAATGGCCACTGTGGTCATTATATGGGATTGGTTTTGCTGAGTGACAAGTTTAGTACATGACCTGGCCAGTTAAATCAAGAAAGGAAGGCAGCCTTTTGACCCCTTTATACATGTTCATCTTCAGTTTGCACCTACATTTTACTCTCTTGTCCATCCCTTCAATTTCTGCAGTTCTACAGTTCTCTATAAACTTCAACACTTCAATTGTGCTTAGAAAATAATTTCTGCTTGTCCCAACAAATCACAATTTTGTCCTCCACTCAAGGACCCCAACAATCATTTTTTGAACTTTCAATTCCATTGTACTCCCTTCCTCCCTTTCTCCCAACCACCTAAACCAGTGTATAACCCTCAGATCATCTGCTGTAGAATATCTTGTGGCAATGTTTATAAAAGCAGATTATGCATTTAAAAGATGGTCAAAAGAATAAATAATCACTGGTTATTTTACCAAATTTAAATGCATGATGACAATGTCAAATGTGAATACCTAGTGTTTTTGGATTTTCTTTTGGTGCATTTTTAAGCCAATATAGAATTGTTGTTGTAATTAGTTGCTGTCAAGTTGGTATCAACGCACAGTGACCCTATGTTACAAAGTAGAACTGCCCTATAGGATATTCTAGGCTATAATATGTTTAAAAGTAGATTTTTCTCCCATAGAGCTGCTGGTGGGTTTAAACTGTCAACCTCTTGGTAGGCAGCTGAATCTGTTAAGTCACCATGGCTCCAATATATAAATAAGGTCACCCATTGAAGTGATGGCATTATTTCTGATTATCTGGCTCTGTGGGCAAATGCATCAGACTGCAAAGTGGTTAAAGCTTACCAGCTTCTCCTTGGAAACCCTATATAGGGTTGCTATGGATCGGAATCAACTCGACAGCATTTCCAAAAACAACATATAAAAAATACAGAATCTGAAACTTTACTTGCAAAGGATCTGATGTAGTAAGTATGGTGTGGGCATTGGTGAAATAAATTTAATAATAGCCATATAATGGAAATCTACATAACCTTTAAGACAGCATATTTAAAGTTCAATGACATGAAAGAAATGTCCACAAAATAGTGGTAAATAGAAAACCTATTAAAAAAAACAAAAAATAAAAAAGACTGGGTGGAAACAAAATCACACAGTGGTTATTTCTGTATTGTTGGATTAAAGGGTCTACTTTAGCCTCTATTTTTTCAATATTTAACCCTCGAAATATATTATCTATGCAACCAGAAATAAAAATATACCTTTAAAATCAGCTTCACTATATCAATAATTCTATTGAAAAGGAATTTTTTTAAATTTCTAGATAATGTCTTTGAGTACACAAAAAAGATCTAATTAAAGAATGGACACAAAGAACACACACACTTGATCTTTTACCTTCTCTCACCCTTGGGCACCGCAGTTGACTTCCTTGAATATCATGTTGCTCTATCTTGTGCCAAGTGAGGTCTTTATAGGCATCTGATGGGAGCTTTAAAATAAGAGATAAAGGACATATCATCTGGCAATATGTTAATTCCTTTACTTTTATGCATAAAGGCCATGCAAATCCAAGCTAAACATTCAGTCAAATTAAATTCCCAATGCCTAGAAATCATCTTGTTTTGGTTACCAGCCATGGTAACAGGGTCAGTGAAAAAGAGGAAGGCCCCCAATGAGATGAATTGGCACAGTGGCATCTTCAGTGGACTCCAGTGTAACAACAATTGTGAAGATGGCGCCGGACCAGGCAGTGTTTCATTCTGTTGTGCAGAGTCGCTGTGAGTTAGAACAGACTTGATAACACCTAATAACAACCAATGGCATCCTGCTAGCAGCCATGATAGCCCTGACTTCTGGTGATCTCATGTGCAACAGAACTAAGTGTTGTCCAGTCCTATGCAATAACCATCATTTATTGCAGACTGAAACCTTATGATCCATAGGGTTTTCATTGACTGAGTTTTGGAAGTAGATAACCAGATTTTTCCTCCTCCTTCTTCTTAGTCTGGAAGCTCGGCTGAAATCTGTTCAGCATTACTACAACATGCAGGCCTCCATGACAGGTGAGTGATGTCTGCACATAGGGTACATTTACTGAAAAATGAACTTGCATGAAAGGAGAGAATTCTACCATGGAATCACCACCATCCTCATGCAAGTCATCTTAGCCCAATCTAATATGTGTACTATTATTCAGTTTTTTTATGTCCATTGTGAATAGTAGCATGAGCAAATATTCATGAATCTACTTTACAACACCTCTGGTAAATGATGTTTTAATAATTGTTAAATATCTCACTCCAGTTTAAAACATTTCTGATTGTGAGAGCTCTAAATTATGTATTGTTATTGTTGTTGTTGCTGTTGCTAAGTGCCATTGAGTTGGAATCTGACTCATAGCAACCCTATACAGGGTTTCCAAGGAGCAGCTGGTGAGTTGGAACTGCTGGCCTTAACGGCCCAAACTGACATTGCAGTTTACCGCATTAATCGGCAGTGCCACACCAGAAGTCTGTTGTTAGGTGCCATCAACTCGGTACCAACTCATAGAGACCCTGTGTACAACAGAACATAACACTGCACAATCCTCTGCCCATCTCACAATTAATACTACACTTGAGGCCATTGCTGCTGCCGTACCAATCCATCTCGTTGGGGGTCTCCCTCTTTTTTCTGACCCTCCACTTTATCAAGCATGAGGTCCTTCTCCAGTGATGGGTACTTCCTGATAATATGTTCGAAGTATGAGAGATTAAGTCTGGTCATTCTGGCTTCCAAGGAGCATTCTGGCTGTACTTCTTTCAACACAGATTTGTTTGTTCTTATGGCAGTCTATAATACTTTCAATATTCTCCTCCAACACCATAATGATATGTTGTTGTTAAGTGCTATTGAGTTGGCTGCTACTCACAGTGACCCAATTAGGGTTTCTCAGAAGTGGCTGGCTCAAGCTGACCTTGCCGTCCAGCGTATTATACTGTAGCACCACACCAGGACTCCAGGATAATCCCTCTAAACCTCTCCAGTTTGTGAAAGTTCTACCCTCTTAAGGCTAAACAAATAAATTCTTCCACCATTATGTGATCATTATTTTAAGTGTTTGACCATTGTTATGTTCTCCCTAAGTCACTAAGTTTTTACTCATAAGACGTGGCTTGCAAATACTTGGATATCTTCATAGTTCTCCTTAAGAAAAGCTCCAATTTATTGACACTGCTCCTAAATTATATAGTCAACATGGAATAAAATATTTCAGATCTGGTCATGTTTCTGTTCTGGATATCATATTATTGAGCAAAACTTGTACTAAGATCACAGTTGGGGCAATTTTACAATGTCATTTCTTCATATTGAGGTGACAGTCTGTCAAAATTCCCAATAATGTGTTTAGTTTATGATAGTTTGTAAATGAACACAAACAAAACAGGAGGTAGAAAAGGGATATTATCTGGGGGTAAAAATCATGCTAAAGACATATTCCATAGATTCCTTCTTCTGCTAGTCAGTAGTACACACATATATAAACAAAAAGCAAACAAATCCTCACAACAGTTAAAGAAATGTCATTAGTGTTTGAAATAAGTGAACTAATCACACAAAGCAGCATTCTGTGTAACTTGAGTCCATGGTATGAATGGCATGAATAGTCAAGTACTCAAGTACTAGCTGAAACATTAGCAGTTTGAATCCATCCTGAGACACCTCAAAATGGCAGGCCTGTTGATCTGCTTATAAAAAGTCAAGCCTCTAAAACCCTATGATGCAGTTTTACTTGATAAACAAGGGATCACCATGAGTTGTAATCAACTCAAAAACAGCTGGTAACAACAACAACAAAACTTTGCTTGAGATGTAATTTATGACTAATACAAACACACAATAGGTTTCTACAATTAGATACGCATATGAGACTCTGTATTAAACCCAATTAAGTATTTTTCTTTACTACAAGACTTCTCAGAGTTTCTAATACACCAGTACACAATATGAGTCCACACTAGAAAATGTTCACCAAACTTTTGAACAATGTTGTTGCTGTTGTCAAGTGCCATCGAATCAGTTCCAACTAATAGCGACCCTGTATAGGGTTTCTGAGGAGCAGCTAGTGGATTTGAACTGCCGACCTTGTGGTTCACTGTCTGGTGCTGCTTCTACAGCACCACAATGTTGTTGTTTAGTGTAATCAAGTAGGTTCTGACTCATAATGACCCTATATAGGATTTCCAAGGAGAGGCTGGTGGATTTGGCCCACCAACCATTGCAATTCAAACAGACCTCGTGGTATAGTGCTTATCCTACAGTGCCACACTAGGACTCCCCATGACTACAATACAATTGTTTATTTTGGAAGCTGCTCATGGGACTAATACACTCTGTAGTGCAGACTTTGGGAAGAGCAGCTTCAAAATAAATTAGGAAGAACTGACATTTTAATAGCCTTTTAGGTTTGATTTTGTATCTTCATTATTTATTCACTGTATGACATTGGTTGTTCCAGTAAGTATCCCAATACACTCATTTCCAAAAAATGACAAGGAATACATGCTCATTAGCTTACTAAGGAGGAGTCCTGGTGTGGCATTGTGGGCTAATGCACTGGACTGCAAAGTCAGTTTGATCTGCAAGGTTGGCAATTCAAGCTCACCAGCTGCTCCTTGGAAACCCTATAGAGGGTGGCTGTGGGTCAGAACCAATATGACAGAACTTAATAACATCATCATAGAATATAAATTTCCTCCTAGATGTTAAGTTACCTGGAGCTGCCCCATCCTATGGCCTCTGGTCTATTTGATAAGGTTCTTTCTTGCTGGGGAAATGAATAAAACCTTAAGTTATAGTTGTAGTTGAAAAGAAAGTTTTCCATTTCAACTTACATCTAATTGTGCACAATAGCTAGTTTTTTATTTGATGACTTCTGGAATTGTAGGAAAACTAGCTATGGCCTTTTTTGTTTCTTTTTATACAAAATTGTTAGTGTCATGCAGTTGTGTAATTGTTGTTTCCTATTAAAACAAAAGCAAATGTTTGTATCTAGTTCTGTTGTGTATGTGTGTGTGTGTGTGTGTTTCCTTTCTAATTTTGATTGACCAGTTGATTAATCCATTGGTTCAATAATTATTTGTGAAGGTTGTTGTGATTAGATGTCATTGAGTCAGTTCTAACTCATAGTGACCTACGAACAACATAACACAACACTGCCTGGCCCTGCACCATCCTCACAATTTGTGAAGGTAGTAAGCTTTATTTCATTTAATTCACTGTGTAAACATTGTACCCCTGTTAAATGTCAGCAACTCTCCTAGGCAAAGTTACATAAAACAAGGGAGATGTAGGGGGAAATGAATAAAGTACTTATAGTCTATAATGTGAGAGGTAGATATATCAATAACTCATCCTTATCTACTGAGCTAAATGGAGCAATTATAAATAGAAAAATGTAGAAAAATCATCAGATTTCACTTATCTAGGTTAGAGAAACTGTCTTAAGAGTGGTGAATTTGAGAGAAGAAAAAAATGTATCTTATGGACAATGGACACCCAGAAAGGAAAGGAAATCTAGTCTTAGACTACAGAACACTTTTTTACCTCAGTGGTGGAAAGGAAAGGGTGTAGTCAAGTTTTTGTGGTCATTATGTTTACTGCTCACTTCTTCTCCTCCGTTTGTCTGTTTTCTTCTTCTCTTCCCAACTTCTTCCGTTTTCCTCTCTGGGTTTGGACTGAGTGTACCAAGCTTTTATTTTCCCCACACCATTACAAGACAAAATTTGGACATTTTTCAAAATGGTTAGATATGAGATAAAATACGTTACAAACTTGTAATTAGGTAAAATGCTAAGTAAAAATATTTACCAGAGATGCTATTCCAGAATCTGAAAGTGAATGAAATGTCCGTCTGTTCTTTGACAAAATCAGCTGAGTGTGAGTATCACTTGGATCAAAAGAGTGTGATGAAGTAGATGGGCAAACCTCTTGACTGCTTATGTTTTGGCCTGAGGAGCTGAGTGTGGAGGGAAAAAAAAATTTAAGCATTTGTGTATCTCTTTTTTAAGTATCTGTGTATATCTTTCAAAGTCTTCAAATGCAAATCTACCACCACCACCATTACCAGCTGCTCTTCAGTGTACTCTGACTGATGATGATTCTTTATGGTCTGTGCTCTCTACAGTTTTCACTGGCTGATTTTTCAGCAGTAGATAATCAGACCTTTCTTCTGAGGTGCCTTTGCATTGATTTAAAGCTCCAATCTTTGAGTGCATTAACCATTTGAACCACCCAGGGATTCTTCAAATATAAATGTTGTTATTGCTAAGTATCTTCTGTTCTGACTCATAGTGACCCTACATAGGGTTTATGAGGCTTTTAAATCTTCATAGGAGCAGAAAGCCTCATCTTTCTCCTATGGAGTGGCTGGTGGGCTCAAACTGTGGACTTTGTGGTTTGTAGCCCAATGCTTATTGTATGGACTCACTGTGTTACTTGTTTAAAAGAACAAGCAATTGTAAGCACCAATTTTTCACTTAGTAGAGAGATAAACAATACCCTATGAGTTTACTTAGATCTTAGAAAAAAGTTTTTTTTTATGTCTTGTACCTGTGGGATTAGCACTGGACCACAAACCACAAGGTTGACAGTTCAAACCCACTGGCTGCTCTACTAAAGAAAGACAAGACTTTTTGCTGCTGTGAAGATTTATGGCCTCAGAAATACAACACAGGGACTCTATGAATTGGAACCAACTTGACAGCACTTAACAACAGTGGCAGGGTCACCAGTGAACAGGTCTCAGCAGAATTTACAGGCTAAGCCTAACTTGGAAGAAGGTGATGCAGACCACTTCTGAAGGGTTAGCCATTGAAAACCTTATGAACAGCAGCAGACTATTGTCTGATATAGGGCCAGAAGCTGAGCTCCTCAGTTTGGAAGGCTTTCAAAATATGACTGAGGAAGAAAGGCCACCTTAGAGTTGACCTTAATGACATGGATGGATCAAAGCTTTAGGGATCTTCATTTGTTGATGGAACACAACTCAAAATGAGAAGAAACAGCTTCAAATCACCATTAACAATCATCCATGCATGTGGAACGTACAAACTATTAATCTAGGAAAATCAGAAGTCATAAAAAATGAGATTCAAAGCATAAAGATTGATATCCTAGGCATTAGTGAATTAAAATGGACTGGTATTGGCCATTTGAATCATAGTTTACTATGTTGACATTACAAACTGAAGAGGAATAACACCACATAAAAAAAGCAAAAGGTAATTAAAAAAACAGGAAAGAAAGACAAGACCAAATGGTTTTCAGAAGAGACTGAAATTTACTCTTGAATGTAGAGAAGGTAAAGTGAATGGAATAAATGATGAAGTAAAAGAGCTCAACAGAAAATTTCAAAGGGCAGTTTGAGAAGACAAAATCAAGTATTATAATGAAATATGTAAAGACCTGGTATTGAAATCCAAAGGGAAGTACACATTTAGCGTTTCTAACCCCGATAGAACTTAAGAAAAAATTCAAGTCTCATTTGCAATACTGAAGGATTCTATGTGCATTGTAGGATCTGCACTGGACTGCTAACTGCAAGGTTGATGGTTCAAACCCAACAGCATCTCCCCAGAAATTTTGTACAGGGTCAGTATGAGTCAGAAACAACCGGACTGCACTTAACAGCAACAATAGCAATGGAAGGACTATGGAGCCACTGTCCTTCATTTGGAGTCCTGGTGAGGCACTCAGTGTAGGATAATTAATGGAATACTAACCACAAAGCTAGTGATTCAATCCCACCAGCCACTCCTCAGAAACCCTATATAGAGTCGCTAGAGTTGGAACCTACTCAACAGCACTTAACAACAACATTGGGCAAAAT